TTATTTTTACAATCTAGGTCTAATTCCTGCTCTATGTGGGTCGCTCTATCAGTTAAAGGCATGTTTTACAGTCTCTATCCTCTATTTAATGATTAATCGATTGCTAAATTAGTTGAGGGTTATTTCAATAATCGATTAATCTGATTTTTTTATCCAGCAGCCCAACAAAGCCTGGTTTTAGTTTAGAAAACATGCAAATAGAAACGGATGAACGGGTCCCCCCCTTTGGAATGGGGGTCGTTTGGCTTCTTTGTTAGCCTGCAATGCCCCATACCTGTCTATGTCTCGTTAAAGGGAATAGTTGGCCTGGCTAAACAGGCGGGGTCTTCTAACAACTCGCCTATTCAGCCAGACCAACAATTCCCTTTAACAACCCCCCTATCAGAGACATGGACAGGAAAAGGTGTCAATTTGCATGTTTTCTCAGTAAAAACAAGGCTTTGTCTTGGTCCACTCTATAAAACCTGGAACTCGGCGCCCTTTCTGACATTTTTAATAGAAAAGGCTTCCTGGATGGAAGAGAAACGTTCAAACTTGGAAACAAAGTCCGGTGGATTGTTTAACTTTTTTCGGATTATCCGAAGGGTAACGCTGCTCTAATGTAGTCGCTCTGCCCGAGCTGAATGATGTCACTTTGAACCGAGCGACCTAACCCTAGCGTCTGCTCTGTGTTGCAGGTACGCCTGCAGTCTGGTGTATTACGGCCTCACGCTGGGAGCAGGCGACACGTCGGGGAGCCGCTTCGTTAACGTGGCCATGTACGGCCTGGTGGAGCTGCCCGCTTATCCCCTCTGTATTTACTTTATCAACCAGAGCTGGTGAGAAGAACACGCTCACACTCTGTGCTTCCTGCATGTTTCCTCCCCTCAGCTCCAAGTTTTAGCTTCATGTTCTCACTAACCTTCCTTCCTTCCTTCCTTCCTTCCTGCGTTAGTCTTCCCAACATTTAGCTCTTTTAGTTTGTTGTTTGCTTCATGCCTTTGCTTCATGCATGAGACAAGAGTAAACCTTCTAATCTCTTAAGCAGAAAACCAGCAGAGGTCATGATGCTCAGCTGAGGAGACTCTGCTGATTGGAGCCTTGAGCAGCTCTGACTTCTAACCACGTTTCATTCAAGTCTTATCATGATCAGGATCAGTCTGGACAGGATTTATTTTGCCTACACGTCGTAACGTTCTGATCACAAGTTCATTTCCTCTGAAGTTTCCACCTTTAGTTTGATTCTTAAGGGGAAACTAAAGCAGACGTGCTGCAGCGTGTTGGAGCAGCAGATCCATCATTTGAATGTTTTTCTGTTGTTCAGACGCTTCGCCTAATTTCAGACACATCTGCTCTCCTGTTTGGTCAGAAAATTTCCTCATCAACCTGCAGGAGGAAATCCTGCTGATCTTTCTACAACCTAAAGTTGATTATTTCTCTAGATAATCAGACGTTCTTTATAGCTTTGATATAATAAAATATATTTTTAATCAGATGATAAAGACACAGGATTTATTAATAGTAATTTTAGAGCTTAAAAGTTGACCAGACAGTTTTATTTTTTCCCTTCCTGCGCTGCCGTCCCACAAACTGAGTCAGTGTTCCTCATTTGACTGAGTCAGATTATCAGATAGTCAAATAAATTTACTGGAGCTTTTCCTAAAGCTGCAGTCAGTGCCTCACATGAAGCTTTAAAGCAGGACAGATGAAGGTTAAATTTAAAGCCACATGAGCCCCATTTACGCTACCCGTGAAAAACCGATCTGAGCTCGGATCAGTTAACCAGGCCCAGCTCGGTTATGACGACCGTTTACACATCACGCTATCTCGGTTCCTCGCCTCCTAGTGACGATCTGCGGTATTACTGCCAGTATTGAAGGAGGAAATCAAGCAGTTGGTGGCGGTAAGTAGGGGTGGGTATTGGCAAAGAAGTCATGATTCGATTCGAATCACGATTCACATGCCACGATGCGATTCTATCACGATGCATCACGATACTTGAAATATTGCGATGCATCGCGATTCATTGCGATATTTTCACTGAACACTGTAAGAAAAGGATCCAGCCATTACCAGTGGCTGACTGACTGGGTGTGATCTGGATAGTGTCTTCAATTGATACA